GTGACAAAGCAATTCTATTTTGTTTCTTAAAGGTATTTTCTCTTTCTTCTATTTATTTTCTAAGCAAATTGAGATTGTTCATCAAATAAACTGTCTTACATGCGTGCTTCGTGGTCAAAAACATCCTTTTTTTCTTTGATTTGCTTTTGAAAATGAGTTCGCAGCCGTCTGTTCGAACATTTTAACTTGTTATTTCTAATTATTAATAAATATTGTTGATCATGGAAGAACATGTATTTAGACTGAGGGGACAGAGTCAATTTAATAATATCTTCCACATTTACTAATTCAAAAAACATTCTGAAAAACATGCAGAAATTTATTTTAGGTACATGTGTATGTCAACCATTTGTCTCTTTTGGTAGTGGATGATTTTCTCTTTGGCCGAATCTTTGTCTTTTGTGTAGTAAACAAGGATGACAAGGAGGATAATTAACCTGACTGAAACACCATAATCACCTAGTGGTTCGAGTATAATCATACTTCTGAAAATATATATGTCAATTTCTAAAGAAAGATACGATAATATAACGAGGCAGATGTTGTTGTTTTTGTTTTTGTTTATAATAGGTTACTTAAGGAACAGTGGTGTAAAAATTCGATTGTCAATTAATTTTTTAGTCTTACAATTTATCTTGAAACTTTATGAAAAAGTCGTTTGTTTTTAAATCTTTACCTTCGTTAAAAAAAAGAGTTTAAGAGACGAAAATAATCATCATCGTTCTTCTCATCGACATTATTCAAATCGTTCTCATTCACCTTCACCCACTTCATTTCGTTCATCACCAAAACGAAGCAAACAGTCTCATCGATCCATTCGTCCACCATTGCCTGCTTCAAAAAGAACAAAACCTGTCTCTTCTCATCATCGTCAAAACTCACCTGAATCAACTAATATCAGAGATCGTTCTGAATCAATTACTGAATTCAAACAGCCAGATCCTGTTTCACAGCAGTCCGATGATCAGTCATCGTATCCTCGTAAAAATGTGTCTGTTAATTACCTTGATTAAGTACATTTGGACTCATTACCGTGTGCCGATTATTATGAACGTTCATATATGCATCATGATGTGGTTACACACTGTCTGGTAACAAAAACAGATTTTCTCATCACTGGTTCAGCTGATGGTCATATTAAATTTTGGAAAATGTTAACATTAGAGTATGTAAAAATGCAAGCCACTCTATCTTCATATCAACAACAACAGCAACAACTATCAGCATCATCAAAACAACAACAAATAAATGGACCAAAAGGAATCAATGGAAATGTACAAACAACATTTGTCAAACATTTTAGAGCACATTTAGGTATGAATGTTTATTTATTATTTGTATTTGTCTAAAGTTAAAATAATGTACAAAATTTGTGTTCTAGGTGCAATTCAACATTTAGCTTGTAATTGTATGAACATTGTTATGTTCAATAAGTTCCGGTGATAGATCATTGAAGATATTTGATATTATTTCATTTGATATGATAACGATGGTTTAATTAGATTATCAACCTCTAACATGTTCGTGGATTCACGGTCCACAAGATCCTCTATCGACATTAGCTATCAGTGTCATGACTTCACCTTTGATTTATCTCTATGATGGAAAAAATTTGAATGTCAAAGAACCACTACATGTTCAGTCAAAATTAGTTACATTTTATTTTAGTTCATAGTTAAACTTGATATTGATTCATCTTTAGGTCATACTCGATGTGTACATTTAATTGAATATAATGAACAAACAGAATTAGTTGTATCATGTGATATGGGCGGTATTGTTAACTATTGGTCAGGCAAAGAATCATATCAATATGATATTCCATCAAAATTGTGTCAATTTGAATCAAAATTAGATACGGATCTATTTGAATTCATTAAAGAACAAACATATCCATATTGTTTAAAATTTTCATCAAATGGACTAATTTTTGCTTGTTTAACACGAACAATTGAAACACCAATTACAAAGAAAAAATTATATTTATTTGATACAAGACGAGGAAAAATTTTGAAAATTTACAACGAGACAAATGATGTCTATCGACAATTACAAGATAAATTACAACAAAAACAACAGCAACTGGCACAATCGGCATCGATGAATAAACAAGATGACGAGGATGATGTGGAGAATGAGCAGATAGATGAAAAAAGTAATAAGATAATCACAGGTAAATAAAAAATAGTTTGATTAATTTAGAGATATGATGATAATAACAAGATGAGGTGGATTATAAATCAAATATTAAATATAGACATAAATTTTATCAGTTGTCAATCACAAATACTTCGATTCATTTAACAGAATTCTTTTCAGAATATAAAGTATAGTGTCAAATTTACAAAAATCTAAAATAATATACAGATTTTTACTGTACTAAGAGTTCACAAGCTGTAGAGCATGCCGCTTCCAAAATAAGCTAAACTAGCCCTTTTGAGCAAAAACAAACCTCTCTGATTATATTAAACAGCTTTTTGGTCGAATAAATATGCAGCAGTAGTCGAATTACTGAGAAGTTTTTCTAAAATTTAAAGAGTCTTCTATTTCTTTGGTTTTACTTCAGAAAACTTTTTGCTATCTAACTAAATCTGAATATATTTATCACATTTTTTTCTATGTTATAACTATAATTCTGTATAGCTTTTAATTCAAAAAATTTTTCATCTAATTTTTCATACACGAAAATACCAATATCTTTTATTTTACGTATCAACTTTATAATATTTAGACTCACCTTAATTTGCATAAAATAGCAGTTCAATGAAATTTGATCAAAAGGCATTTTATCACCCATTGTGACATAAAGATGCAGAAATAACGATTATATCTTCTCAAAAGAACTTTGCATCCTACAGGACTTTCAGGTGTCACTGTAGAAAGCTAAAAAAAGTAGAAAAGACGTTATCATCAGAGAGTCAAATAAAAATTGATTACGTGCAATTTAAATGCATTATCATCCTACAAAATGAGAGTTTTATTTATCAAAATTTGTATTATATTGGGATCAAATGACGACAAATTGCAAATAAATATATCTCCACAGACGGATCCAACAACAAAAAAATAAATCTATCTGATCTTCCAGATCAGATTTATTATTGGAACCCCAGGCTGCCTTATCCTGTTCTTTGCGACTAGCTAGCAGTGAAAATATATTCTCCACTTCCGGATCGATCTCACTGATCTTTTTCGAAAATACAAATT